TGTAATGCAAATTGGCCTGAAATCCAATTTATGGAGGATTTGGTTAACTCGGATGGTCGGAAAGATGTCAATCGATCTGATATCTTTGCTAGAGTATTCAAGCTTAAATTGCATCAGTTGATGTCTGAGATTAGAGATAAGAAAATATTTGGGGCTACAACTGGATGTTAGTTGTTTTATATATGTTTCTTTATAGATTTAATTTTTTTACTATTATATTCCTCAATCATCCTATGTTTCTGCCTGTGTAGATAATGATATTGCAAAAGTCTCTTTTTTAATTTGGTTCTTTAGTAATCATATGTATATCTATAATATATACATACACGTGTTGCCATACTATTTTTGGTTTCGTTTTTTAGCAAAAGACATATCCTGCTTAATCATATATAAAACCAATTGCAATTGCAAGAACAAATCTTATAGATGGATACACGTGTTGCCTTTTTAGTCTACAAGTGACAGATTATATTTATCAAAAGCTATTATTTAATAATCTTTTGCATGTTCAACAACTTTTGAAAGAGTAGTTTTTGTAGTTATTGTAATTTCCATGTAGAATGTAAAATTTACCTAAATTTATTTCATGAAAAATTAAGATTTATCAATCATTTATTAGTGCAATTGAACTTGAGTGATCATGTATTTGTTATGAATTTCAGTTCTTTATATATTATATTTTTTGTTTACAGATGTCATGGCTATTGAGTTTCAGAAGAGGGGTCTTCCTCATGCTCATTTGTTAGTTTTCCTAGCTGCGGAATATAAACTAAGTGGTCCCAAGGAAATAGATTCTGTAATATCAGCAGAGATACCTAATCGTGATCTAGATCCAGAAGGTTATCGAGCTGTAACTGCATTTATGTTGCATGGTCAATGTGGTGCTTTGGGTCGTAATGCTCCTTGAACTCAAGGTGGGGTGTGTACGAAACATTTCCCAAAGCAGTTTTGCGAGCAAACTATAATTGATGATAATGGTTTTGCGAAATATCGACGACGTGATACTGGGATATCTTTCAATATCCACTCTGTGGCTCTAGATAACCGTTTCGTTGTTCCGTATAATCGCTATTTATTATTGCGCTTCGATGCACATATTAATGTTGAATTCTGTAATAAATCGAGGTATGTGCTGAATGATTTTAATTTTCAGATGTGCTTCGTGTTGTTCTTTATGTTCTTATAATTATGTTGGGTTATTTTGTATAAATTGTTAATCAATTATTAAAAAATCCTATGCATGATTTTTTGTAGGTATACGTATCAATATAACATAGTTTTATTTAAATTTTCTAATTAATAAATTTAGAATGCAGGCAATTATGTATTGATGATTGAGGAAAATTCACATTCATGTTTGATATATGGTATTTCATTATTGTCTTTCGATTGCAGGGCAATCAAATATCTCTTCAAGTATATCAATAAACCACAAGATAGAGCCAAAGCATCATTAGTTGGAACTCAAAGTGCTACAGGTGGTGATTCGAGTGCTTCAAGTTCTGACCGTATTCCACGTATCGATGAGATCAAGTCATTTTTAGACTGTCGTTATATAACATCTGGTGAAGCATGTTGGAGGTTATTCAAATTTGATGTCTACTCACAATATCCATCTGTATTACATATGTCATATCATCTTCCGGGGCAGAACGTTGTTGTCTCAAAGCAAAACCAGAATCCTCAAGGGTTACTTCGATCTAAACGAGCTCAGACCTCTATGTTATTGAGATGGATGAAAATGAATCAATCATCTCCAGAAGCAAGGCAGTACACTTTTGTAGAATTTCCCCAGTTCTATGTCTGGGATCAAACAAAACGAGATTGGCACAGAAGGAAGTCCAAATTCTCAATTGGTCGGTTATACTATTGTCATCCTTCACCAACAAATGACAAATTCTACCTGCGTATGCTCCTACACATTGTTCGTGGATCAGTTAGTTTTGAGGATATCAGGACCGTGAATGGAGTTATACATAAATCTTTCAAGGAGGCATGTTATGCTCATGGGTTATTGCCAGAAGATAATGAATGGAATGACTGTTTAGCTGAAGCATCTCTTTGGGCATCAGGTCAGAAGCTTAGAGATTTATTTGTCACTATAATAACCTTATGTCAAGTTTCAGATATTGGCAGATTATGGGAAAGAAATTGGACAATGTTGTCCGATGATATTTTGTACTACCGTCGGAAGCAACTTAATATGCCTACTTTGGAGATGACCGAGTCTCAGTTGAAAGAATGTTGCTTGCTTGAAATTGATAAATTGCTCTCCAGGAATTGCAAAACTATTTCAGACTTTCCAGGTTTACCAGTTCCCAATTTTGATATGTTGCAATCTTCATCTAATAGATTGATCGCTGCAGAGCTTAACTATAATGCCATAGATCTTCGTTATAAATTTGATAGTATGATATCCAAATTAAATGACCAACAAAGAGTAGCCTATGATGAAATTATGGTTTCAGTGTATGGTGACCAAGGAAAGTCATTTTTCATTAATGGTTGTGGTGGAACGGGAAAGACCTTTTTGTGGCAAGTCATTTGTTTGAAATTGCATTCAGAGCAGAAGGTGGTTTTATGTGTTGCTTCTTCTGGTATTGCAGCCCTTTTGATGGATGGTGGGAGAACAGCTCATTCCCGATTTCATATTCCAGTTGAAATTGATGCGCGATCAACCTGTCATATTGAACAAGGAGGTGAGTTGGCAGAATTAATCCAGCGTGCTTCTTTGATTATTTGGGATGAAGTTGTCAAGTCTCATAAACATGTGGTGGAAGCTGTGGATAAATCATTACGAGATATATTACGTTTCCGATATCAAAATAGTGATGAGAAACCATTTGGAGGTCTGACAATTGTTTTCGGAGGGGATTTCAGGCAAACCCTGCCTATAGTATTGAAAGGTACACGAGCTGATTCTGTCAACTCATCTATTAAGAGGTCTTATTTGTGGCAGCATTTGAAGGTAATCAAATTGATTCAAAATATGAGGCTAGCACGTGGCAATCAATGTCCAAAAGAAATGCTAGCAATTGCTGATTTCCAGAATTGGCTTTTGCAAATTGGTGATGGGGTTGATTCAGATGTTTTTGGTGAGTCTACTATTTCTATTCCACATGAGTTATTAGTACCTCGCCAATCAGATCCTGTTACTGATATTGTGGGTTCAATTTATGGTGATCTTTTGAGTCATTATTCGGATCATAATTATTTGGTCAGACGAGCTATTTTGGCACCACACCATGATATGGTTTCTGCAATCAATACATTTATTTTAGCAAAATTTCCAGGAGATGAGGTCACATATTTTAGCTCAGATTCAATTGAAGTGGATCCTGGAAAGGAGGGTGTGGTGGATGCTGATTATACTACTGAGTTTCTGAATACATTGAAGGTTGGTAACTTTCCTGATTATGAACTGAAACTTAAAGTGGGATGTCCAGTAATTTTGATGCGGAATATGGATCAAAAAGTTGGGCTCTGCAATGGTACCAGAATGATTGTTAAGACTTTGGGAAAATGGTTCATTGAGGTGGAGGTCTTGACCGGTACCAATGTAGGTGATCGTGTGTTTCTCCCTAGACTTACATTGTCAACATATTACAAAAGTCTTAATTTTACTCTCCTTAGAAGACAATATCCTATTGCTCTATGTTTTGGCATGACTATTAATAAAAGTCAGGGACAAACACTTGATCATGTTGGCTTATGTCTCCAGAGGCAGGTTTTCAGTCATGGCCAACTCTATGTTGCATTGTCCAGAATTACAACAAGGCAAGGTCTCAAAATCTTGATTGAGAATGATAATGATGAAGACCCGAACTCGATGCTAAACATAGTATTCCCAGAAATTTTTGATTGAATTTACAAGTTGCAGTGTGGTTTGCATGATCAGACATGGGATTAATTTGCTATATTTATTCCTTTGTAATACAGCTTTGCTTCTCTTTAGCTGTAAATATCAAACTTGCTTCCTGTTTTTTCAAGCAACTCTACCCATGTCTATTGTTTAAAATAGTAGTAGTGCTCTTTATGTGTTATTAACAGATTATTATTCCCATGGAGAACAAATGGATCATTTGGTGCATTTATTTGGTATATTTGGTGCATTTATTTGGTATTAATTTATTTGGAATTGAGAACAGTGGAGTCTTATTCCAATTTAGTGTCATTAGTTCTAATTAGGATCTATTTTGATTTATATTTGATATTTACTATTGTTCAACTAGGGCTTTTATTTGATGACAATCTGATATAGAAATGGGCTTCTATTTTGTTCCCATTCCCAATTTGAAGATTAGTCACCTCTGGCCCAAATTGAAAGCCCACACAAAATTCAAGGGCTAGAAACATGGAATACAATTAACTGGCGGTGAAGCCATAGGGAACCCTAGCTCCATTTTTGTATTTGCGGTAGATTCCTCTTTGCTTGGTGCCGCCGGTGAAATCACATTCGTCTTTCCATCTCCAACCAAATTCCAATCCTATTTGCACCATTCTATTAATCAGTTTACCAATCTCGCCCAAATACATATCAAATTTAGCGTTGAGGTGAAGATGATGAGCTCTCAGCTGGAACGAGGTCTGAAATTGGGAAATCCAGGAGTCAGAATTAGTTGCATAGAAGAGACCAAGTTAGAAGGCCCTCTCAAATTTTGTGAGTTATATTTACAAAATGAAGGTCATAGTTGCCTAGAGTTACAGTTATCTCCATTCAGCAATAATCTTCTGCGGGAATCGTCCGAGTGTGTGCAGCTTCTCTCCATTCCGAAAATGTAGCTCTGCGTGGCCAACGTGGCTTTTTAAAAGTTGAAGTAACTGCTACTGTCTTCGGGAAATATATATATCAGCTTAGACACAGCAGTTGACAATTTTCTGTGCTCAATTGTTTTTCTCCCAGGTATCAATTCACGTTCAAATTTTGTAACTGTATCTACTGATTTGATGCAATCCCGTAGCTCTTCAATAACCTCATTTTTTGTTGCTGAGTCTCTAGAATGGATTCCCAGAGCATTCGTGACCTTGAGCCGGAGAAGAAGATTTGGTCAGGTCAATGTCGTGTCTCCAGAATGTGGCTTGGGGTGAATGTACATACAGACAAAGTTCTCCATTTCGACCTCATTCTGATGGATTCAAAGGTAATCACTTCTTTCATGGCATATGAAGATTCTGTTCCAAAATGAGTGCTGTTTTTTAAATTTAGTTTTCGTTTCCATTTTGAAGGGCAATGATATTTGGGTACAAATCCCTCCTGTGTTGATAGAAAAGTTTAAGAAGATGCTGAAGGAGAACCATGTTTACATTATCAAGAACTTCGATATCAATAAAACTGGACTGAAATATCGACCTATTGGGAATCCATATTTGATACAATTTAGTAGGAAGACAACTGTTCATCATGTTCCTGAAGTTCCTGCAATTCCGACCTTCAAATTCAGTTTCCTAAATGCAAGTCAGATGGCAGGCAAATTGGGTCATGTTGAGATCCTTTCAGGTTACTTCTTCATTCTTACATGTATTTTCAGTTAGCAAATAATGTGTATCTGATTTTATTTTATTAAAATGATTTGTTGTAGATGTTGTTGGTCAACTGCGCCCACATTCAGATGCAATTACTACTACCAGCCTTACTCGGAAAACTATAAGGAAAGAGCTCACATTGCAACTGATTGAGTGAGTTTTTTTTTTATATGTTTGACATGAAAGGCATTTAGAAAACTTTTGTTGAATTTGATTGCTCACTATCTGGTTGGTTTTTCTTTTATTTGTTGAGGGAGCATTATTGCAATTTCGTCATTCATGTTTGTTTGCAAGATTAGTTTTTTAAACATCTTAGATATTTATTTCAAATTTATGTAGGGGTGATGTTGTCAAAGTAGTTATTTGGGGAAGAGTTATTCAACAGTTTGATAAGATTATTGATGCTCATGATGATGATCAGACTATACTGGTCATTTCAGCTGTTAGTGTGGGTGACTTCAAAGGTGCTATTATTATTTCTTTCCTTTCTTACGTTTAATAATGTTATGAGTGGCAAGATCAGTGGCAAGACCAGAATGATTTTTGGTTTTTGTAGATGAGTTATCATTTTCATCATCGGGGTCAACAGTTGTGTATCGTAATCTCGATATTCCAGCTGTCAAAGCTTTTGCTACCGGGTATTCATCACCGTAATGTGTCTATGACAATGTGTTGTTATTTAGTTTTGTTTAATTATTGATTTTTTTATTCATCAAATCAGTACTGTGCAACCAGAGCTGCCTATCTTTATGGAACCACCGCCACCTCCTGAATTCCCTGTTATTTCACTTTCTGAACTTTTGAAATTACAAGAGGATCCAGACCATGAGGTTACTTCTATGGTCTTTCATATTTCTTATACTATTTGCATTTTCATTTCATTAGAGACTTATAGTAAACGTATTTGGTAATATGAAATGGTGTTTGCTGTTGAATGCAAAGTTGTTGGAATTAAATCAGGCTGGTGTTATATGGGGTGTCCTACCTGTGTTTTGAAGCCTATACAAAGGCAAAATGAGTACTATTGTGTTAGATGCAACAAGGGACTATCAGCCAAGGCTGCCAAGTAAACATCTCCTACTTAGTTGACATTCATTATTCTTCCTCATTGAACTGTAATTATTTCCATTAATTTTATTTGAAATTCGTGTTTTGTCCAGATAGCGTGTTCAACTTGAAGTCCAAAGTGATTTGAAGTCAGCAATATTTGTACTCTTTGAGTATGAAGGGAAGCGATACTTTGGATTGAGTGGTCATGAACTATTCCTGAAAAATGTGCAGAATGGTGACTTGCCACCTGATGAATTGCTTCAATTGGTAGGTCTGACCAAGAAATTCCATGTCAAATTCAAGATCAACCTTTTTGCAGATTCCCAGGTTGATTTTACTGTGTTGAGAATACTAGAACCCACCTCAAAGGTCAGTAGATATCCCTGCAAGTATTTTTCCTCTTTAAATAAGAATGAAGTGTTATGATCACTTTTCTATCTCAGTATTGATCTAGATTGTAATCTTTTTTTCCCAGTCAAGAATCCTATTATAATTTCTTTACTGGCTAATGTTACATTTGGATATTATAATCTCAGGGAGAAGGTTATATGATTCACAAAGATGGATCATCTTCATCTATTGCGAGTGGGCCTGCATCTTCTCAACCCTCCTCTGATCAGTCTGGACAGTCTGCTACTGAAAAATTGATTGAAACACCAGTGGATTCTGATGCAACTCCAGACAACAAACTGAAGAGGAAGATGCCCCTGGAGTGATTGCAACGCCAACAAAGAATTTGTTGCAGCTAGGATCTTTTCATTGCATTTGTTTTGTGTTCCAGAGTTTGTCATGTGTTTGTTAAGTACTGAATGTTGCTGATTTGCACTTGGACTTAGGATTGTGAACATATTTTAGATTTGTAAGCATTTTCTGAATATTTCAATTGGGCATTATGTAGCCTATACATATTTAATTTCATTATTACTAAATTTGTTTTGAATTTTTGGATTGGTTCCAAATTCCATATTAATGCCAGAGATGGTTGTGGTTGCATGCCCATCAAGACCCGAGCTGAATTTCTATGGCCCATTTGGTATGGTTTATCAATTTTATTACTTTATAACTTCCTTTAATTTGTTTCAATTGGAATAATCCAATTCCTTCCACACAACCAATTCCACAGGCCAGTTTTTCTTGGGCTTTTCCAACTGAGAATTGGGTTGGGCTTTGAAATTTATTTGGCAGTAGCATTCCGCAACAATATTTCTCTGCCAGATTGATTCCCTCTTTACCATTACAGAGATTTTCCCCTTCTCCTTTCTTCTATTCTTCCTCCTCCTCTCTATTGCGCTCTCTCCCTATATTTCTGTTATTTGATTTGTGTTAAATTGGTTTGCCAGTTGATAGTATCACTACACTATTTCATATAATAAATTGAAGGTATTTGGTACTAAAATGCATTAATAGTAGTACTGTTGTATAACTAAATTAAATAATAATGATTTGGGACTAAAATGCATTAATAGTAGCAATCAAGTTACATCTACTACGACTAATTTGTTCAAAGTACCATAACTAAATTAAATTCATATTTTACATCAAGTACCACCTCAAAAGGATAATAAACTTACAAAAGATATTAGCGTTCACATATCCATTACGCTTACAGATGATTAGAAATTAAAGAGAGGTGGACCATTACTAACATTAATCTGATCATATTAATAATACCCAATGCTACTTAGTTATCTAAAGCTGGGAACAATTTAACCAAGAAGAGATCAAGATAATTCCCCACGTCGTTCCAACGACCGAATGTGACCAAGACCTTATATGCCTTCTCACAAATCATGTTTAGAAGTGTAACATAATCTGCATCTTCGATCTCAGAGGGATCGACAACAGAAGACATGATTCTCCTTAAGTAAGCTTATGGGAACATGACCTCAACATCAGTAATGTCATCTTCAATGGTCAAGTGAATCAAAAATATCTTGGATGCCTCACACCAAGATCTCCTCAAGTCTGTTACAACGCCAGATAAAATGTACGACTTGCCCTAATATAATTCAAATATAAGGAGTTGAAAATAATACCAAATCAGATGCAAATCATTGAGATAAGAGATAGAGAAGGATAGATAACAAACATATTATCTTAGTCACCTGATTAGCAGCATCCAATTGCATTGGAATAAGATCTATAGTTTCCACAGTCTGCCAAATTGCTCCGGCAATTTGATAGTCTAGATTCGTAACGAAATCGTCTCCCATGGTAAAAAAACCTATAATTTAGATTATTAGCAATATTAGCAACTGTATTGATTCCATTCAGGTAATATATCCATGTTCAAATATTTGTCAAACTTATATCATTCTACTAAATCTCTATTATTGGAAGTAACTGCCTTTTTTAGGATCATAAAAATAAACAATGTTAGTTATTGTTTGGGACCACAAATGTATATTACACTTCCGATGTTGAATTAATAACTACTTCGTATTCATTTCAACAATACCAAATAGACTCTGATCAATTAGATCAACAAAGGTTAGAGTTCTTAGATTAATCAACTAATCATTGTAAAACAGAATATAAACAAACAATAGCAAAGCAAGACATGACTCTGTGAATCCCTCGATGAATTTTGTCAATTGGACCTGAATTTTACTTCTTTTAACTTATTCATCTTTGATTCTTACCTGGATAATCGATTCTTAATTATAACAATATATACTGTTTGATGGATCTCCAATGGAAACTGTTATACCCATAATTGAACTCCACTATGTATTAAACAAACAATATACAATGTTGTGTTTGTATGCAACACACACTACGTAATCAGATCCAAGAAAAGAAAGAAAGAAAGAAATATACGTCCTCAACTATGGGATTAATGCTATGTTACAATCGAATAAATCATAACTAATCATGTCCCTTATTTTAATAGATCCAACCACATTATATGAGAAATCATGGAAACAAACGCACCTGTGAAGCTTGCAAGGTTTTGCATGGATCTTAAGTCAAGTTTAGCAATTTTGGGAGTAGGAAAAAGGAGAAAAAGGTACCAAAGCAGAGCATGCCACAATCATAAGAAGTCTCACCTGTAGAATAAGATCCTATGAGGCTTGATCCGATTTGATTTGTAAAAAGCCAAAAGAAGGTCTCTGAAAATAAGTAAATATCAAACTGAATGAGACCTGAAAAATATCAATAACTACTTAGAAGTGCATTTGACTTCTCGGTTCTGAACCTGATCATTCCACAAGATGTTAGTAGTATTTGTAGTCTGGTTTAGATCTAATACCTTCACATAATCTGGATTCGTTTTGGGAATCGGTGACTGGAGTTATCAGAGGGAAGAAAAAACTTTGCTGTTGTTGAGAGACTGAAAGAAAAGATGTTGCGAGGTAGGATTTTGGGCACCGTCGACTGGAACTGAGAATACAATGGGGCACGCAGACAGGAGGACGCGAAACGACGTGCATGCAATGAATTTGGTGGTTGTTTGCTGTCTTCGGCGGAGAATGAAGAGAGGTATGGAAGGGAAGAAGGAAGCTGAACCGTTTTCGTCTTTGATGACTGTTGGTGGGTTATTATTTTGGGTAATTTAATAAATTTAGTCCTTTTATAAAAGTAAAGGGAAATATTGTGCCTTTAGTTCATTTGATAAAGGAAACATACTTTATATTGGGCCTTCCATTGAATTGCAATATATAGAATGCTATGCTTTATGGCTGGATTCATGGATCTCTATGGCCCATTTGGAATGGTTCCAAATTCCATAGTGATGCCAGAGATGGTCGTGGTTGCATGCCCATTAAGACCCGAGGTGAATTTCTATAGTACGTAAGTTGTAAATCAAAAAAAGTTCAACATAGAAACGTATTTATTCTTGATAAGTTGTTGCAAAAGTGGTTGGCAATCTAACGGTTACAAGTTAATCATATCACCAGTAAGTTGAAAGTTGGAAACCTAAAATTGACAATTTTGTTTTTGAAAATCACTTTTACAAGTAAAAATTGGTATGATTTAAAAAATGCAACATAAATATGTAATAAGTTTGGATAAGAAGAAGCAAAATTGCTTGGTAGTCTAACGATTATAAGTTGATCGTATCATCAATAGGTCAGAAGTTTGAAACTTAAAATTAACAATTTTATTTTCAAAATCACTTAATTTAATTTTTTTATTAGTAAGTTAAAAGTTGGAAACCTAAAATTGACAATTTTGTTTTTCAACATCACTTTTAAAACTCAAAAATTGGTGTGGTTTAAAAATGCAACATAGAAATGTAATAAGTCTAGATAAGATGTTTCAAAATTGCTTGGTGGTCTAATGATTACAAATTGATTGTATCATCAATAGATTAGAAGTTGAAAACTTAAAATTAACAACTATTTTTTTTTCAAAATCACTTAATTTAATCGTGTCATCAGTAAGTTAAAAGGATAACACCTAACATTGGCAATTTTGTTTTTCAAAATCAGTTTTAAAAGTAAAAATTGGTGTGATTTAAAAAATACAATGTAGAAATGTAATAAGTCTGGATAAGCTGTTGCAAAATTGCTTAATAGTCTTTCATATTATAGATCTTTCTTTGTTTGCAATTGAAATTAAATTCCTATATCTGAGAAATCCCATCACCAAGTATTTCACTATGCCCAAACCTATTGTTTTGAATGTGTGAATCATTAAATCAAAAGTATTTATTTTTGAAGTGATTTAAATAAAGTATTCAATTTATTGCTTTGATAATGTACTCTTAGTACTAATGAAGCTGATTCCGGTGAATAATTTACACCAAAACAAATCAACAGTATCATTTATAGCTGAAAAGTAAAACTGCAACCCAATTCAAATTTTCCTGCCCGTAGAGTGATTTTAGGAGGCTGACTTGGCGACCCATTTAGGCGGGATTAGTATAAACATTCTGCCAACGGCAACCGTCGCTTTTGCTCTGCCTTTTTTATCTGGAAGGTGTTCCTCCTTCCTCTTCATGTGTCCTTTTCACATATGAAAGGGCACCTGTAACCGTCATCCTTTGTATTCTCGCCTGCTTCAGCAACGCGTCTTCCCTCCAGGCGACTGGAACCGTCATCCCTCCCTCTTTCTCTTTGCTTCCGACAGCAAATTACACTCCGATTCCTTATTTCCCCTCAACCCTAATCCCCTTGCCGTAGCAACGGCAACGTCGACCATTATCTGCCGACGACAAACGGTATTGCCAAGCCGAAACTGTCGACCGAGCTCAACCCTCGACGGAACTCTGGGCGACCAGCACTCTCCCCTGCCAGATCGTACCCACCAGTCCCATCACTCTCCCTTTGCCGGATAGGAGCAACCAGTCCTGTATTGCTCAAAGTTAGACAGAGGCTTCGCGATAGAGAGGTTTCAATCTGCATCCTTGGTTGGGAAATTGTCAGCCGAATTTGCCTCCAATCTCGGTCGTACCGCTGTTGGGGTCATGAAATCAGCGTCGCCAACTGGAATTTTGGGAGGTTAGCCCTTCTGATTTTCCGCTTCCCTAAAATTTTCACACTCTGGTCTCTCGCTTTGACTCTTGCACACAAGTCTTCGCTTTCGTCTATAATTTTCACACAAGTCTTCCCGTCCATTTGTTGAAACTAATTTAAGGGTTTATCCTGTGGATCAGCCACCCCGTTCCACCGGCGCTGCTACCTTGGCACTGTGGTCCGCTCACTGCATTCTGGCAACTGAGTTTTCGGCCGCTGGTCTTCGTTTCTTCGTAGTCGGCTGCTGCTGCGTTCCCCTCACTGAGTTCCGACAAGTGGATTTTGTGGTGCGACTCTTCGTTTCTTCGTAGAGGGCCATCGTATCATACGACGGCGTCAAATTCCGCCGGCTGAATTTGGGGAACCTGCACGTTGTTCCCTTGAACAAATTGTGAAAGGTTTGTTAGAGGTTTGCGGCCACCTCCACGCTCGGGTAGCTTCCAGATTCACGTTTCAGGTCAGTGATCCCGCTTCAGCTTCACGATTACCGCCGTTGTAAGGTGTGATTTGTCTTTTTAATTTTTTAGTTAGGGCCCGCAGAATCCATTAGAATAGTGGTTGGAGCTAGGGAAATTGGTGTCTTTTTAGGTTGATATAGTTCGAAATGGCTTCAATCGACATTTTTATTGACACAGGAGTAAATTACCATGTTCCTACGTGCTCATTGATTGACTTTGTAACGAACGTTGAAGTATGCAGGTATACTTGGTGGAAATATATTTATTGCCCTTTCAAAATTGCAGGACTCAGAACTGAATTAAACTAAGTTATCAACTCTCTAAACCACACCACAAGGATCCATGTTGGATTAGAACAGGCTGACTTGCTTTTATCAAGGTGAATTGAAATAGAACTCGATTATGGGATAAAGTTTCTCAAACTAAAGCATTTGATGTGTGTTTTGTCTGACCTGAAACTGAAATTGTGTTGCAGAAGATACCCATCATTCGATCAGGTTGTGCAACCTGTAAAAAAAGCCAGCACTGCTGACCTATTGATGGTTGCTCCCCAACAATCAATACAACCTTTTTTACATGCTTTTAAACTTCCTGTGATGTCTCGCTATGTGGCCTTAGTTTGGAAGATACCCTTAATTGATAAGAACAATCCTGATTTACCTTAGGCACATCCAATTAATGGTGATGGGCAGTAAGGATCCCAACAACTAATTGTTCCATTTTGATTCGATTCTCCTACAAGGTATATATTTGACAGATTTAAGGCATCTCTCGATAAATTCCATGGCGGGATGGGGTTCTTGACATATCTATTGCTAGGTTTGTTCCTTCTGAAAGCCATTTCATGCATGGATTCTTCATTTCCATTCTCTGTTGATGAGTATTGGTTCTTTGTATTTTACTAATTTTTTTTTGTTAACTGCCTCTTCAAGCTTCACCTGGCAAGCTATATGTCGATCGCAAATTTTGCAGTTTTGGAGTTGTTCATTTGGTTTGCCAGTTTATCCTTTAGATAATTTACTTGAATGAGTTATATGCTGCACTTTTATTAATGATCTGCGGTAGATATAAACAAACAAAATAACATACTTGATGTAAGCAAAGCTTCTTGGTCCCCTACATGTTGCTGTGAACGGGTTATAGTTCTCCTTTATTTTTTTCGGTAATTGTTGTTGTTCATTTATAGCTCCAACTTAGTCAAACTAGACTAAGTTTCTAGGGAAAAAACGTACATTTTATGGCTTATCCTTCTACTGCTATCAATTTCTACAGAATTACCAAGCATAGTGCTAAATACTTATCAGTTTACATTCATTATCCTTGCAAAGCTAGACAAGGATATCACCCTAGACACTTCCTCATTTCCAAAACAAGAATGATGCACTTCTTCTTTAAGCTACCTAGCCAGATCCCTATGGCTTTTCTTAGCAGCAGTGAACACCTAGCTTTGCAAGGATAATGAATCACAAATCTGCATTTCTTCTTTAAACTTCTTTAAATAAATGTGATGTTACTCAAATTTTTCATCTGGACAATAAATGCTTATGTTTTTGTTAACTATTTCCATTAACCAAATCTTGCTTTGCTTTTTGTTTTTTATCAGCACAGATTTTCAGATTTGCTGCAGTTACATTTTGATTATTGGTTGGTTCGAGACCACCAATGGCGGTGACGACTAATTACAGGTCTACAGCTGGTGAGACCCGCCAACATGATGGTTGAAAAGTGAAAGTGAGATTTCGATCACAGGCTCATTCCTCCACCGACAGTTAGGGTCCAGGTTAAGTGTGGGCAACCTACCACGAGACCAACATCAGAGCTCAAGCCTCCTTCGGTAGATAAAATCCCACCTTTTTCATTTTTTCCCCTCTGCCCTCTTTTCGATTTCTATTTTGGATTTTGCAGAACTAGGTGTGAAAAAGACCAGGAGCGGAAGAAAATGTTGACCGGACCGCTAGGCTACACCTTCGAGACCATAAAAAGATTTACAAGGACAAAGAAAGGGATTTTAAATCGTTCATGGATATAATAGGGGTGAAAGGCAAACCCAACACAATGCTGCTTCAAGACCCAATTAGCCAGGAGAAGCATTACCGTGAGATGAGAAAGAATGCTAAGATGGAGAAAGCTTCCAAGTCCATCTCCGAGATCATCTTGGAAGACGACCACCTCGCTTAGAGTGAGTGTAAACCTTTTATCTTTGATCTTCTTCCTTGGATTTTAGGTAATTCGATTAGATTTGGGTGTCCAATTCTGTTTCATTTTATTGCTTTCAACTCTTGAATCAGTGATTAGTAAAGGTGGGAAGTTAGCAGGGAAGGATGTGTTGAGCTTGATTGAGTTGTTGATGAATGAGCTACTGAAATTGTACGAGATTATGGGGATGGAAATCTCAAACAACAGATGATATTGCAGGGGAAAAGACTTCAAAAATTTCATCCCTCTTTAACTTCAGAAAAATAATTATGTTTTGAGTTCTTATTTGATTTTAATTTCGCCAAAATTGTACAGGTAAAGAGAGCTGAGAAGTATGTAGAGATATTAGACATGTTGAAGGTCAAGAATTCTTCTTTGATTCACTTGGCATTGTAGAGGGTCCTGGCAATTGAGTGGAGGACTATTTTCGTCACTAGAGATGGTCGATTAGTCTTCCGGCGACGAGCAGAGCCTCTACGAGGTACTTCCATTTCTCCATTCTACCCTATCAATGAATCATGTGTTGCATGTGATCTTAGGCCGATCTTGCTGACTATTCATTTGATTCATTTTTTTCCTTTTTGGTATAATTAGGGTTGGGGTTAGAGTCTAGACAGTGACATGCATGGTATTATGATTAAGGATGTATAATTTGTTGCGATGGTGAAAGTTTCACGCTTGGTACTAACCATAAACCACTAGACGATTATTATTGGTAAGGAAATTGGTTGTTGGGGAGAACCAAATTTAGCTTGACAGTACGCATGCAAATGGGTTTTGGAGTTGCTGCTCTTTTAGCAGCATTTAATGGTGAACAAGAAACTGAAGCTCTCTGGAGTTCATTCATTTCGCCAAAGCTGAACCATAGAAACTGGCTTCTAATACCCAGTTCAAAGTCGTGGGAAACATATTCTGAATGGTTAGTTTAGTTACAGGGGATATACTTGAGATGTAATTGTACGAGGTCCTGTGATACCTTATTCGTATCTCAACTATGATGTTAGGCAATCGTATCTCAACTATGGATGTACTCTACATGGTTATTGCTTATTTCTCACCAATTGTGCCACCTTCATGATTGTGTTCCATAAAATTGCTGAGTTCAAGCCCTTTGTTTTTATGAGCTGTTCAAGCCATTCGTATTTGTTCTATTTAGTAGATTGCTTATATTAATTTAGGATTGGGTGCTAACTTTAAAAAATGATGTTGCGCTGGCTGCAGATTCTTGGTGTGCAGAAGACAACATCTCAGCGTGAGATAAAGAAAGCATACCATAAATTGGCTTTGAGACTCCATCCAGACAAAAACCCAGGTGATGAGGTGATTAACTGAGGAATACTGCATCTTACTTTTGTCATGTGTTAAGGGAATTGTATCTTGTTTGTAAGATATTACTACCATGTTTCTTCTGACAGGAAGCAAAAGAGAAGTTTCAGCAACTACAAAAGGTGATATCAATCCTTGAGGATGAGGAAAAACGTGCACTTTATGACGAAACTGGTTGTTTTGATGATGTAGTAAGTACTTAGAACTAACAGCTAGGTGAATGATGCACTAAGTTAGGATTGGGTACATAAGAGAAACCATGAACCTTGCTGCTTAATTTCTTTGCTCATATACCATCTGCTCGCTACAAGTTTTCCTTTGACATCAACTTTTACAGTTTCTAAAATATTGATCTACACAAAGGTTACGGCAGAAAATAGGCCAATAACAACAACTTGCTACCAATTTACACTCTTCATACCTAATTTCAAAAACACGGAATCTGTTTGCCTCATTTAGTCTGATTCGTTGAACTACCAATTTACACTCTTCATACTCAATTTCAAAAACACAGAATCTGTTTGCCTCATTTAGTCCGATTCGTGGAACTACCAAGCTAGAAACACTTGGAAACCACATCCATTCTAAATTACTCCATTTTAGGCAAAACTCAGACCAACTACCAGTTGTGACAATCCTTTAGATGACTTAGTTTTTGTTAGGTTTCCAATTTATATTTGTTCCCTTAGTTCAGAACATAAACTTTCATTATTTATGCATGGATCAACTATATATGCATGGCTCTGCTACAATGTTAGTTAAGGGTTCGTCTTGGTTACCATACAATTGGCAATTTCGTTTTCTATATAGACTTTATTTTCCGAGACGAATACTTCGTTGGGTATATATTTTAGTTAAAAGTTTGTCTTGGTTATAATAACACCCCAATTAGAGTTAGGTGGATTAGACCATCTCCATCCCCAATCTCTAGCAATTGCTAATGTGAGGTGGAGTCTATGTGGCATTTTGCTAACAATTGCTAGGGATGTGAAGGTGCTTTCTAATTTAGCAAGATTGCTAAATTAGAAAGTCTTCTAGAAATGCCATATAGGTAAGTGTTATCTTTTTTATTTTTCTTACTTACTAACTTTTCAATTACAATGTGTTGAGGTAGATTAAAATAATAGATGAGACCCACATTAGAAATTGCTAGCATAGTTTAGGGATGTAGATGACTAGAAATTGGTAAGTGATGAATTGCTAAAATTGATGATGTGGTTGTAGGGACCACATCTAGAAATTGCTAACCAATTTCAAAGATGGGGATGGTCTTAATGCCACTTGTATTTCTTTCCTTGACTGCAATTCTCCCCCATAATGAATATAATTTTTTTTCCCGATAAGTAATGAATATAATTTTTCATATAACTATAAAATTAAAAGTTTGCATTGTTAGTAATATGAATCGTAGTTTAGTCGATAGCTAAATCTATACTAATCAAGGTTGTTAACTCAGATGGCCAGAGGAAACTATTGATGCGATTCGTAGTTTAGTCGATAGCTAAATCTATACTAATCAAGGTTGTTAACTCAGATGGCCAGAGGAAACTATTGATGCGATCAAGCACATGGGTTATGATGGGTTATTGGTTGGTCCATGTGGGTTGGCCCATATTTACACACTTTTAGAGATATAGGTTTGCAACGTAATGATTTGAGATTTCAGGGACAAAATAAACAAGGGTGAATTTAAGATAGCATTAAGTAAATTTTTACTCCCGACTCTGGCAGGTAGCGGGAGACGACATCCACGAGGTGGAGGCGATTGACGATGATGATGCAATTGGTAGCAGTCGGAGGAGCTGGTCACTGTATCCAGAGTAGCTGCCTGTGAGAAGAGCTCCATCTCTAGCGAGGGTCTAGGGTTTGAGAATGAGAGATTATTAAAATTGGGGAGGAAGAGCCACTTCCATTCCAAATGATGTTCGGAGTTGAGGTTTGGCTCGGTGCTCGATCAACTGGTCAAGTTGGCTGGTTTCTCCAAGTTTTACACGTAATAAGATATTGCTTCCACCATCTTCATTAGTTCAAAATTTACAAATGAAATTTGGGTACTCCGACCAACGGGTCGGGTAAAAGCTAGTAATTATATATGTCCTCAAACTAATTTCAATCAAGTTTTGATGAGTTGTTAACGCAAAAAAGCTTTAGAGCTCGTAATGTTCAATTACTATTCACAAAAATAATCCCAAAACTTATAAGCCTGTTAATTAGTATAATAAAATGGGCCAAAACCAAAGCCCAATCAAATTTTGGTCGCCATTCAGATATAAGAAACAAAATGGGCCAATATCTGAATATCTCCACTAGCTAAAAGAGGTCGTACAAAACCCACCTGAGCTGCCTCTGTTTGTCTCCTTGGTCAGCTGGTTTTCACGAAAGGAGAAACCCTAGATTCTTACCCCGCAGCTGCCGCCGTTCTGGTCCCCCATCTCCTGCAGTCTACCCCATACATAATTTACGGCAAGTATTATATATTTATTCTATTCTTTCTATTTCTTTTCCTTTGTTTTCCTCATTTTGTCTTCTTTCACTTTTGGAGTAAGAAGATATTGGTACACCAAAACTGTATCACAACCGAGCTGTTATTTTCGGCGACAAGAGAAGGGAAAATGTTGCCGCAAGACCCACATGGTATTTTACAATTAGTTGAATAGAGGTTTGTTCGAATGCTTTTAGATAGAATGACTCAGTTTCCCTTTTGGTGTTAGATGTAATGGCTGAATCCACAACCTTTCGTGAGCTACAGCTTGGAAAAAGCAATCGTTTCCTCATGGCTAGATTGTTAAACATTTGGTCAGAATATGAGTCCGATGGAACTAGATCTATTACCTCCATGCATATGCTTTGGTTAGATAAAGAGGTAAAATTATAATCATTGAACACCTATTGGTTTTACTCTTATGACAGAACAGTTCTTTTAAGCTCATTTGTAACATTTTACCTCCTTTAGGGACAACTTATGGAAGGAAATGTAACCTATGAAGATTCTGCTCATATTTGCAAAGACATTGAGATTGATTGTCTCTATATTATGATGAATCCAACTGTTATACCAGCTAGATCTGAGCGTCGTACTGCACCTTCCAATTTGAGATTGTATTTTACAAAGGAATCTTCATTCAAAGCAATGATCGAATATCGGAGCACAATGCATTTTCCAGATGATTATTTTTTCAAAACCCTTTTAATGGTGCTGGTTCTTCAACAAGTCTTCCACCTTGCTTCTCAGGTATTCATTGTTTATTCTTAACCATTTATTTCGACAGGTTGTATTAGAAATTGATGTGCTAAAAATCGTATATTCCAAACATCATATAGATAAAAAAAAACTAACATATTTACAAATTTCAGATATCACAGGATGTGTAACGCATATCACCGAACCAGCTAAAGTAAATTCTGATACATCTATGTTCCAGATTTATCTTGAAGATATGAGGTACCACTTATAATTAGTTACTATAATGTCTTACTGAATCAAGATTAGTCTATAATCATACTTATATTCCGTTTGCCAACTTTTTAGTGGAAACAAAGCACTTGTGAGCTATATTGGCACAAGAATTAAAGAATTCATTGAAAGTGCTACTGCCAAAGAAGTTCACTATCCTTTGGTTGTGACAGCAACAACACTCACCCGGAACATGCATGAATATGACCATATTCCACAGTTCTGTTTCGTAACATCTCCTGCCAATCGTCTTATAGTATATTCGTACAGTGAGATGACCAAAGATTTAATGTACAGGTAAATGGTTATTTTTATATGTTTACTTTTCATACATTTTGCATATTTTTTCCTAGAAGCAGTCTAATTTAACTTTCAAAACACTCTAGGTTCTTTCCTAATAGACTGCCTGTGGATATCATTGACTACAAGTCATAAGAGCGGCTTGGATACCTTCGGCGTGACATTCCACCCAGAATCTCATTATTGGAATTGACCAACAAGATGCCTTTAGGAGAAGAAGAAACAAAGGTAACCATCATTACCTTATATGCTTTGTTATACATTTGTCAAGGAAGTATATTTGAGAAATAAATAGAAGTTTCAAATTGACTTTTAACAGTAGCAGTGTTTTAAAAAATACCTATTTCTAATTGTTGTATTTCTCCTATATCAAACTATATGCCAGATACTCTATCGGTGCAAACTCAAAATAGTCAAATTCGACCTTCTTTCTGTGACCCGTGAAGTTTTCCCTGGAGACACTGAGTATTTCTAAATACCTTTGCTTTTTGATTCCCTATTATAAAAATACTACATATTGACCAAATGCTTCTAATCTACATATTTCTTCAGATTATTCTATGAACTGCAGGCTGAATGTGAATCAGGAAATCACAAGGCAAATGTCATTCTTAATCATGGACCTGCTCTTGCTCTGCTTCGTAAGCCACCGATCGAGTTTAAAAAAATGCCATATGACAAGAGAGTTCAGATGCTGAAAGAATGCTGTAACATAAAATTCATGGCAGAAGTGTACATTATTGGATCAGAATATGAAGTTGAACCACAGATTCGCATGTTTGCAATTTGGCATCCAAAAGCATTTCAACCATTACTAGATCTTAAACTGAACTTATAAATATTATCCTCATTTTGCAATCCAAGAAGGTATATGTCTTCCCTTTTTTATTTCAAATACAGGAGTATATTGTTATTTATTAACACAACTGAGGCTTTACATGTAATAATTAGCTTCTACTTCTGTTATTATTTCAGGTGGTAAAAATAAGAGATGAATCAGCTGGTTGTCTGAGAAGGAATCAAGGGAATGATAACTAGGAGATATGAATTCCCATGTTATTTTGTGCATTTCATCTTTTCAGTAGTAGGAAAAGTACTTTTATATTGTTATTGCGATGTAGTTGTTATATTTTCATTTAGAAGAACATATACTTATGTTATTTCAAGTACATGTATGTCTTCCATTTAGTTCAGCTCTTGGTACGTATGCAAAACAATATGCACTGCACCTAATTTCCACTTCTTTTTTGTATGTTTAAAAGTAAACATTGGTGTGGTTTGAAAAATGCAACATAGACATGTAATAAGTCTGGATGAGGTATTGAACCTTGCTTGATAGTTTAACCGTTACAAGTTGATCCTATTATCAATAGGTCAGAAATTCGAAATTTAAAAGTGATGATTTTTTTTCGTTCAATAATCACTTAATTTAATTTATATTTGTTGTGCTTTATTCAAATCAAATATTAAATCATTTGTGTTAACTACCACACCCCACTCTCCCCATCCCTCCCGTACATTAATCCCACACCCCACATTAATCCCACATAATCTGATTTTTACCTAATATTATCCCGCGCCCAGGTTATTTAATTGCCGAAGATCCACAATAGTTTTGTTACTTTCCCAACTTCCATCCCCTGGTTTTGGAGTTCAGAATAATCGAATGGTGAAGGTGAATTAAAGCTGAATCCAAGACATGGTGTACCATTCTTTACGTGAGTTGCAGGTTTCCCATGGGCAACAATGGTCTGTTCGAGTGAGAATTTTGCGTTTATGGAAGACTTTGATAGCTGATATAGATGAAACTCTCTTCCTACACATGCTATTGTTAGATAGTGAGGTTAGTACGTCTATTGAATTCCTTATCACGTTTCACGTTGTGTATCATTTACCCAATAGAAGCTTCTAATCATTCAAGTTTTTTACTTAAAAACGACTTGCAGGGAACAGAAATGGAGGCTGTCATTCATCGCCTTGAAATCCCGACATTCTTACCAGCCATACAACAAGGAAGAATCTACCGGATTGAAAATTTCGATGTTGATTCTTATGAAGTTTCTTTTCGGGTTGCAATGTCAACTAGACGAATCTCTTTTCATCATAACACTGGTGTATATCGATTGCCAAATGCTGCTGACATATCATTATGCAGTTTTCGGTTCCTAGGTCCTGCTGATTTCTTTGATGCTGTTCAAAATGATCAAATATTTTCAGGTAAGCAAATCATTAACCAGATAGAGATCTCCAAGTAGTTATGGTTGATTTTATTATTTGAATGATCATAACATTGGTTTGATATGATGTGTAGATCTGATAGGTGAAATAGATGTTGTAGAACCAACACAAACAATTTATCACCATGGTGTTGTTCAACGAAGCAAATATGTTTTCCTAAGGGTGTTTGAGTAAGGCTTTTTGATCTATACTCTAATTTCCTGTGTGTTTGCTTTAAAAATGGAACTAATGAGATTTTAATTTTAGGGGAATTACGGTCAGAGTTTTACTATTCAACTCTTGCATTGAGCAAATTGAGGGTCTAAATGAAGCTGATCCAGCACCAGGAACTGTTGCTATCTTCACTTCAGTCTATGCCTATATGAACGATAGTACGTAAATATGTTGATGCGTTACTAATACATTTAATGACCTATTCTAATGAAATACTTGGTTTTTGTAGATCAATTCTATTTTATAGCCTCATTTGCAAGTAATGTCTACTTGAATTTGCACTATCCATAGCTTCATATTTTGTTGAATCAGTAAGTTAATTTCTTTATATCTAGGGTTGAATTCTATTCAATTTGGTTAGGATAACTCAATTTGTATACATCTATAATTGCATCTTCCATAATTGGGGTCTAAATTCAACTAACATGTTTATCAGATCTAGCAACCTGCTTATCAGTCACCATGATTATATTGACTATTCATTGGAAGCAGCAATGGAAGTGAGTGAAGCAAGTTCTGTTCGGGAAATACTTTTTCTATCGACTAATGTGCACAATATGGTAATTTAATACAAAATTGTTTATGTATTTCTTGCTTACTTTAGCATTTATTTCTATTATCTAAGGAAATTATTTATTTACACACACGGAAAGAAATTTGTTATTGAGGCAACAATTGAAGCTGTCGATGTATTCTGGACACCTACTTTTCAGAACTAAATTTGTTATTGAGGCAACAATTGAAGCTGTCGATGTATTCTGGACACCTACTTTTCAGAACTACATGGTTGAATTGACACTGAAAGATGGA